TAAAGAAGTGGAAAATTGGGTCTCTGAATGGTGTGCCTCAAAACAAGCAAAGTTCTATTGGGACAGTATCCACAAATTACCTGAAAGATGGGGGAAATATGGAGCTAGCAATGGAACTTACTTTGAGTAAAGCACTTTTGATGTTTCTCTCGAAATTTTCGTGTTTTCTGTGATTACAAAATCCGCATTATTAACCAGTACACCTGGTGTATGTTCAAGGACCTGAAGAAAGACCATATGGCTGCAGCTTGCCTGGGAAAGTGTATGATATCAAAAAGAGAGATAAATAAAGGCCAGATGATATAGCATTTGTATATCATGAAGAAGTGAAATTTTGTGTCACTGCTGAGATTAACCTTAAAAAGAAAGCATGCAGGGCTACTTTTGAGTTTACATATGACATATTTTTCTTTGTGTCTTGGCTTCTAGAATATTAGAAAGGGAATATTAGTGGAGTCAAAATATTTTAGGTGCTTGTCCTACAAATTCTCATCTATAATAACTAAATTTTACATATAGGTGATATAATTTAAACCAATTATAAGGAAAGTATATGTAACTATAACTAGTAATACACTATATATATATCTTTTTGGTAAATAAGAGTGTACATAATATAATGTATACAAAATAATGAAAGCTCTTTATTCCTGACTGAATTCTAGAATACAAATAGAAAATTTTGTTTTTCCAAAAAGTATGTTTTTTTTATCTTATTAGTATAATGACTTGATGAAGAAGAAGAGAATTGTAGAAAATGACAAATCCAAAATACTTGCAACTATAGAAGACCTTGACCAGAAGAAAAACCAAGCCCTGAACATTGCTTGGCAAAAGGTATTTGAACCAAAACTAGTATCATTTATTCTATGTGAGGCAAAGGTGAAGAATACTGGCAATAGGTTATACTCTAAGTTGAATTGGAAATGGCTGGTTTGTGTTTGGAGGAGATATCAGGCATACTAAATTATAACCTCATAAACCTCAGGCATTTTGTCCTAAAGGACTTGACTACCAATTTGCAAAGGTAAGTGTGTGTCATCCCATCATTCTCTCAGTCTAATTCTCTGGTTCCTAGATTATAATATTTCCTAATTCTTTATTACCCTGTTAAAGGGGACACTATTTGTCCTATTTCCTTCCAATGAGATCACAGGCTCTTATATTTGGTAGAAACCTCAGATACTGCCCGCTCACCCTCTGCTCGAGATTGGAGCAGTATGATTTTCTCATCGGGAATCGGATCGTTGGAAAGCTCTCCCTGGGCTCCTTCAATTCTACCCTCCCTTGTTCTTCTTGCCCAAACTCAGAGGTCAAATGTTAGCTCTAAGAATGTTTCCATGGTAAAATTTGCACATTCCTTACCACTTACAAATTAATAAGTATTAGTTAACACATATTAAAAAGTAACTGTCAATTTTAAATGAATTATCTTAAAACAATTCCATAACTTTGGCAGTTATTATCCCTACTTATTACATGAAGAAACCAGAGCTTACAAAGATGAAATAGCCTACAAAGATCATATAGCCAAAAGGTAGAAAAACTGGGTTTTTTTTTCTAAATTGTACCCAAGTTAAAACTGCCTTTTATGCCTAACTACTATCACCCTTATTCTTTAACAACTGGACAGTAAACAAGGAAGTTTGATATTCTCTTTTACTGGACTCTTTACTTTAAAAATCCCAATTATCATTTTTGTTTTATGACAACTTTGGAAGATTTCAAGGATTCTCATTTATTTCCACTTCCCTGTAGATTATTATTTAGCATGTGTACAGTTGCTCTTAAAATATGCAATCTTAGTAACTCTACATTCAGGAGCACTGCTGTGTCTAAGATTTCCTTATTACTAAAAATACTCATGAGAAATATATTTGCCTTTATTTGAATTTGGAGATTTCCCTAGAGAACCTGGGTGTCAAGACCGTGTGTGTGAGTGTATACACCCTCAAATTTGTCTGAACTCTCTAAGGTTATTAGTCATGTCTTTGAGAACAGATGGCCGAATTCTCAAATCATTAAGTGTGTATGCACAAAAATTACCCAATTATAAGCTACCCTATTGGCCCTAAATCTCTGTAATCTCCTACTGTGCCTTGATGAAGATGAGCCAAACAGCTTCTTTAGCCTCTTTCTCTTGAATTCGAATGATATTCCCACCCCTTGCCACCTCAACTTTGTTGGCTATGAGAAGCAGCATAAAAAGAACCATTCAACACTTTGAGCAGATCTGGTGGTTTGATTTCAGGCGTCTCTCTCCTAGAGCCACCCTGATCATCCTAGGTTTTTTAAGGTTAGCTGATAACCACAGGGCCATCTTACCATACCATTCAACAGGAAACAAGTTTTATAAGAGAACATTTTGTGGCAAAAATATTTTGTTTTATTTTTGCTTCTCTAACCACAAGTTGAATCTCCTATTATATACAGTCATGTGTCTGAGGATTCCTGTATGATAGCCCACAAAACTACCAAAACTTCAGGGTAGAGTTGAGGTATAGCCTCTAGGTCCCTCTGGAAGTTAGGTAATAAACTTTCTGTAAAGGGACATATAATATTTTTTGTGTGTGTGTGAGCGCCAAATAGTCTGTTGCAACTACTAGACTCCATTGTTTTAGTGCTTGCAGCCATAGAAAATACATAATTGAATGGGTATTGCTAGATTTGTCACATGGGCCATAATTTATCAACCCTAGTTAGAGTAACAGCAAAATGCATTGTTGGGTTACATATACACCTGTCAATATTTGATATTTTAGGAAACTATGGTATTTTAATATCTTTTTTTCCCCCAGGTGAACAAAGACTTTGGGTCTATTTTTTCTACTCTTTTGCCTGGTGCTAATGCTATGCTTGCACCACCAGAGGGGCAAACGGTGTTGGATGGTCTAGAGTTCAAGGTTGCCTTAGGAAATACTTGGAAAGAAAACCTAACTGAACTTAGTGGTGGTCAGAGGTGAGTAATCTCTTAGGTACATTATAATTACTAATTACTCTTCTTTTATTATTGCCCATCATCTCATTGTCTACCACTTATTTCAGTTTGCAGCGTTTAACTCTCTTTGCGTATAGAATTTAAGGAACCTATTATGTAAGACTACCTGCCAGCTGCGAGTTTGACATGCTTGGACTAAAACATTTAGTTTAAATGGTAGGCAAAATGTAAGAATAATGAACTCGAAACCTAGATAAAATAGATGAAAAACAATTATTTTCAGATATTAGAAAATGAGTAGTCCGGAATATGTACCCCAGCTTTCTTCCTGGGAGCAATTTCTGGAGTGCAGATTCAGTGAGAGAAATCCACACAAAGCCCAGTAGTCTCACTAAATTCAGGAAACAAGGATTAGAATTAAGTCTGTATTATCCCTGAAGTGAAGGCTACTATGCTAAGGTGCATCTAAAGTTCATTGCAGGCCTTGAAGAATAAAGCTGATCTGCATGTAACTTAATTGGTTCTCAGAACAAGGTCCAACACTCTTTAAAGAAAGACAACAAAGAGAAACCAAGATGGCAGCATAGGTTAACGCCAGAAATTGCTGCCTTGAACAACCAATTCAAATTACACCTAAAAGACGGAACGGACATCATCCAGAACCACAGGGAGGCTGGCTGAGTGGAAATTCTACAACTAGGAGGAAAGAGAATATCATATCCAGACTCAGAGGAGGCGCAGTGCTGAAGTGAAATACTCAGGTGCGGAGTGCGCGCAGAGCGGGCTAGTGGTGGAGGGCACGGTTGTTGTTTTCAATCGGGAGGGAGCTTCAGACTCTGAGCTCCAGAGCCGGGCGAGTCTCTAGGGACCCATACTCAAACGGGAGAAGTGGGACTGTCTGACTTTCTTCGGAACTCGAAGGCACCTTTCTCTCCAAGGTTTGCAGTGGTTGCTGGGACTCTGTGAGGCAGAGCCCCTAGGGACGGAACTGAGAGCAGCAATAACTGCTCCCTCCGCCCGCCCTGTAGATCCCCTGGGACCCGCCCCGCACCAGCCTGG